TACACACACACACACACACACACACACACACACACACACACACACACACACACACACGCACGCACGCACACACGCACGCACGCACGCACACACACATATATATATATACACATATATACGTAGGATATATTTGAAACATATTCGAGATATACGTAAACATGCCTCATGCATTTTCTCTACCCTTCTCCGATTGATTTTATCAGATGCGCGAATCAAAATTACTTCGCGTCTCTTCGCCTAAATTCTAGAGTACGAGCTATATTTAAAGTTACACTTTTGAACTTTTAGGTATTGCCGTTAGGTCGAGGATACCTTCCACATGCCCCACGCTTTTGCTATCGTTAAATTCGGAACTTTTGAAGCTTGAAGATATCACCGAACTGAACAATGAATAAATATATTACTTTCTTCTTAAAATTTCGCTTTCATGGCGACTCGATTTAAAAAGATCCATAAATCGACTGTTACTCGCAGTCTATAATATTGATTGCGTCAAAGAATCAGGGGACTTTTGAACGTCTTTCGATTCTTATTTATTTGCTAAGTGGCTGTCGCGTCGAAATAGCAGCCTTGAAGTACAACGCTTCATAAGTACGAGTGCTTCTTTCACATGGATTGGAAACAGGCCTTCTACTTGATCTGCTTCATGTAGCCTTTCTCCTTCAGCAAATCGTCCAACGTTTCCTGATTATAGTAGACGACGAAGTCCGTGGGTTCGACGCCTTCGAAGACGGCGTACACTGACGGTTTTAGGTTGTAGAAGAAGAGCGGTTGGCCCCGCTTGGCAAAATCCTTCGTCAAGATCTCGATAACCGTGGCGGCTGTATAATCCGCACCGTAAATGTGCGAACAGTCAATTACCACGGGCGTTGCGACGCTTTCAGCACGTCGGCTGTATTTGGTCACCAAGTTGCGAACGTAATCCACCGATGGGAAGATCAAGCAACGATCCGGGGTCAGCATCAGGTACTCGATACCGTGACCAGTCTGTCGGAAATAAAAAAAAAAAAGAGTGATGAGAGACAAACATTACGAGGGATGTCACGTGAGTTTGCGAAGCCGAATAAAAAATTGAACAATTGAAGCGAACGCTCGCGAATGAAGAATCGAGCTCGTATTTTCAGCGAATCGATAATTACCTTGAGCTTCTCTATGGATATTTTCGGTCTGGCGGCGTGGTATAGAATGAAGAGAATATTTATCCCGATACCGCAGAGGATTCCGATCTCTAATTGCAGCACCAAACACGCGATGAACGTGCCCACCCCCGGGATGAGGTCCGATTCTGTGTGTGAGACACGACGAAGGTATAATTAATTTTGTGACGTTTCGCAAATTTATTCGGTACTAAATGTGAGAGAAATACGTTGCTCTTACTTTTCGTCCTCCACATCGGCCTCACCACTTTGACCTCGACCATGAAGATGACCGCGGCGATAATGATCGCCGCCAGAGTGGCGCGTGGAATGAAGCTGAAGTACGGGGTGAGGAACAGCAAAGCTAAGATCACCAACATACCTGAAACGAACGCAGATACTCGTATCCAAAAATAGGGATTTATTTTAAACGCAGCACAATTTTTAATTTTATTAAACAAAGGAGGACGCATTTTTGTACGATTCAGCGATTAATAATTCAGCGTGGAGAAGCTTTGCGAAATTCTCAGATCTTCCTTCGAATTTACGTCGAACTCGGACGGAGGATAAACGGGTGCGATAATTGATTTGTGGAAACTGCGAACGGAACTCACCAGTGTAAACGCCACCGAACGGCGTCCTGACGCCGGAAGCGTTGTTCACCGCACTCCTGCTGAGAGATCCCGTCCCCGGGAAGGCCTGCACGAAGGAATTTCCAATGTTCGACATACCGATCGCTATCAACTCTTGCGTGGCGTCCACCGACTTGCCGTTGGCTACAAAAATGCATAAATTCCATAAATAATTCTCTTAAATATGTCACAAGCTGCAAATAATTCGATTCAAGCAACAAAAATCGATTCAACAAAAATCGATTTTTGAAAAAAAAAGATGATTAATTTTTATTATGGAATTACGTGACGGTGGAAAAGGATATTCCGCAATTCTTAAGTACTCTCTAAAGCGCTTACCAAAAGCTTTACAAATAGCGATGTCTTCCATTAGAGAGATAAGCGGTATAACGATGATTCCGCTGCCCAGATTACCGAGCATCTCGACAAACGTGGCTGTCGTATTGTCACTTTTGATGTATTCGAATGGTGGAACTTGTACAGTAGGCATTCCTCCCGGAATAAAACCTGGAATTAGAAATTTTTAATTTACTTTTAGAAATTTATGTCAAATGAATAATCAATATCACTTGAACAATTTTCCTTCTATTGATGTTATAAGATTGCAAATTGAAATTTCTTAATAAAAAATGTAATATAAATGTAATATATCGTCTTTTCAATAATACATGTGATGCAAATAAATTTTATATTTAATGTCTTTTTTTATTATAATTAATGCTTACTGACAGTTTTAAACTAAAAATTTTGCTTCCATTTATACTTTTTAAGCAAGATGTGCTGTTCTTTTTTCAATAAAAGCTCATTTTACAATCGCGCAAAATCTGTTTTCAGAAAAAGAACATTTTAGTTGCGTACCAATCAGTCTGACAGGGGATTTGTCGTGGAAACTCCAGCCCAATAAACCACAAATTACTACTAAAAGTGCATTTCGTGAAGTGCCGATCAACCAGATAATTTTATTAACAACGCGATGTTTTGTGGTATGAAGTTCCTCTCTTTTTGGGCCGATTTTGCATGAGGCTAGTAACTGTAATCAAAATAAATGAAAGTATTAATTGCAATATTGTATCAATATCAATATTAAATTGAACCGTTGCAACAATAAATTAAAAGTTTCTCGTTTTAATAATTCGTTTTTTCTCGCAAAAGTTATCATCCAGAAATATTTATTTCGGATTATATTAAGCTACAATTTATTTTCGTTCGCGTTTTAAATGGAATATGTAATATCGGTATGAAGTTTATATTTTATAACAAATAAATAAATAAATATGTATTAAATCGCTTGATTACATTGAAATATTAATGTTGCGTTGTAAAAGGATTTTAATAATATATTCTCGCAATGGCTGAATATCTACCCTCAGAATTAACAACAGTGCTATGCAAGATGCTCCAAGTGTAGTGTCCCAGGCAGATGTCTGATGTATCAGTCCACCGATACTCCGCCACATTTCAATAAACTGAGAACCCTTGGCAGGAATACCAAGGATGTCTTTGACTTGCGACGTAACGATTATCAAAGCTACCGCCGACGTGAAACCGGAGCTTACCGGTCCAGATACGAAATCGATTAGAAATCCTAAAAAAGATGAAAAATCTCTAATTATCTACTCGTTCTACATTCGTCTTGTAATAAAAAAAGTGGAATTTAAAAAAAGTGATATTTCAATATTAAAAAAACGAAATTTCAATATTAAAAAAAGATATATGTAGCTAATGCATTAAATTATATTAAAAGTGAAACAGTTAAACCACTCACTTTTCATTATTTCTTATTGCTAAATTTAGTTTTTAAAAAGCAATAATTGTAGAGTTAAGTAAACTCTTTTTATAATCACGATTAAACATCGTTAAACTGCTATTAATCGTAATGTAATTTAACATTCAATAATTTTCTTCCGAGATTCCGAGAGATGGTTTAAAACTATATTTTTAATCTTAATAAATTATTGAAAATAACTTACCCAATCCAAATATACCCATTATTAACTCCACGATTCCGACCAAAAAGGTCAGTAGAATCGCATGCGGCACTGGAGCGTCCAAGTGAGATACTGTTTGATAAGTTAACAAAGATATTATGGCGGTTGGTCCCATGGGTATGTCCTTGCAGGATCCAAAAATTACGTAAATGAAACAACCCAGGAAGCTGCCATATAAACCATACTGAAACAAAGAATGATGATAATGCACAGAAAAAATTCGAGAAAACTGTTGCTAATTTCTTTCTTCTAAACAAGTCGAATCGATCATCCGTCGCAACTTTTCTCTCAGTTTAAACAATATTAAACGATATTAAAAATTTGATCGTTAAAATTTCGTCAAAATAAGATCCATTCTTATTTAATTAAAAAAACATTTTCTCATTCGTATCTCCGTTTTTCTTCAAAATTAATTTACAAAGGAAACTTTAGAATTTTCCTTGGGAAGCTGTTGGTACGTCGGTATTTTTTAAAATTAATTTTAATTAAGTGGGAAACCTTTCTGGTCAAACGTGCATGTTAATGTAATCTCGGTGCAATCTTTACTTAATTCCGTGCAAGTCATTAAGCTCGTAAGAACGTGCGATAACGTGTCTGGTTCGTTTATGTACCTGCGGCGGTAAACCGGCGACGTTCGAATACGCCAGCGACTGAGGAATGACGGTGAGGCCCACGGTAATTCCGGCCATCAGATCTCCGAGTGCATCTTGACCGTTGTACCTTGGCAGCCAGTTCAAGATCGGCAGCCTCTTGTAAAGGGTTTTCTTCGTGCATATGGCCCTGGCACGCCGTCTCGCGTGCTGCAACGTCGATTTCAGAAGACCTTCCTTCTGCTTGACCTCGTCATCCCCCGGCTCCTCGATCACTGTTGGCGTAAAAGCAAAATAACTTTAAATTTCATAAGAATACCACAACAATACGCGTTAACTTTTTTTATCTTAAATTAATGTGACGTGACTTTATTCTGTGTATTCACTCGATACACGATGTTTGATCTTAATATCACTAGAAACGTAAAAAATATAAATTTAGCCTTTTTTATTTGTGTTCCTCAAATATTATATATGTAAATTTATTTTATAATGTAATGGTTTATTATGTAGAAGAACGGTTTTGCTGAAGTATCTGAAAATTTGAACAGATAGATATAGATTTGAAAATAATTTTGTTGAGTCATTGAAATTATTATATAGTATACATGATGATAAAAATGTTTGATCTTCTAATATCTATGCAATTAGAATAAAATTATTTTTAGATCTGTGTCTGGGACTAAATTTTAATTACTTTTGTAAAATCATTTTTTTCATATATTTTATTCTAAATTTCATAAAACTTTACCATGTTAAAGTGTGTTTTTCCCATAAACAATTACGATTTTAGGGCAAGATATCTTCAGTGCTTTTTTTAATTATCTTTCCAATTATATATTTTTTTTAACCCATTTTCCATATACAATAATGATCTGAGGAAAACCAGCTGGCTAAACTTCATGTACTTTTAACACAGGGATTCACATCTGCCGTATCATTTGCGGTCCGCCACGTTTGCCCATAAATAATTTCGTGAAAACGCGCAACGTGACAAGCACGGTAACGAGGACAGAATACTCATACAGACAGTGCGGCACTTGAATTTATTATCTCGCTGAACAAAGTCATGAAGAAGAAGGGAAAAAAATATATCGCATACTACCAGACGCGGGATGTGTTTCTAAAAGCATTCGCGCTCTTCGGAAGGCCGATTTTCGTTCGCCGCGTCAAGGAAGGCGAACCAGTTCCGCCGGAATAAAATCATTGACGATATGCATAAAGACACAAAGGTTACTTTAATCTTACATTCGCTAATGTCATCAAACATGTGCAGCAATTTCCAAAAATATAACAAAAAGTTTTTCATCGTTTGTCACTATTACACGTGATACTTGAAACGATCAGCGCATGCGAAATATATGGAATATATATTTTTTACCATGGAATACTTTTTACTGAAAAGCTAAATGAAAAAATAGTTTGATGTATTCTTATAAATTTTCCGAATGTTCAAATGAAAACTATTTTTAGGTAGTAATTTGTCCTTATCTGATATTGATTATTTATATTTTTGTATTTTTATCAAATACATTGCACCTTTTATCAGAATTATATTATTTATTATTATGTTAAACTTAAAAAAATTATCGAATGGAATTTTAAATCAAGATTTATTCCTTTTTAATCAATAACCATTAAGCAATTGAAGCATGAGAGACTTTATCTTTAGAACTGAACAAACTGGAGTTAACAACTTTGGAGTTTTATAATCTGAAGATCGATATCAATAAATTTACGTAGAAATTTAATAAAAAATGTTTATAAAAAAGTATTGTCATTATATTATTGTGTAAAATTGAATTAAAAAATTCTTGAATAATTTAATAATTCAAAGTATATTTGCAATAGTATGCCATTCTTTGTATTTTAAGACGACCTAATTGTTTGAAATATGACAGAAAAATAATCAAATTATTTCTATAAAGTTGAATATATTTCATCATTTTCTGTATAAAAAATTATATGTAATATTTCGATCAATTTCATAATAAGTAATGAAATAAGTTACTACGTTGTTAAAATCGTTAAAATTTATGATAAATACTCACTTCTATAGCATCCATGGCGCGTGCGAGAAAGAAATTTGTAGATGCTTTAAAATACAATGATGAATAAAACGTATTTATAAATTAAGATTTCCTTCCTGCGTGTACACTTTGGCTGTGCGGCTCGGTGAAAGATATGATTTCACCATAATGTTTGCATTATCATTCAGAACTTACATATGAAATCTGAGGAGCCCTGTATGTCGCGATGAGTTCCATGCGAATTGTGAAGAGATTGAAATGAATGAATGAGGTCCACGTTGTTGGTAGATCCGCTTAAACCGTGATTTACGTAGCCCTCCAGGCTTTGCCTGCTATCCACCGAGCTGTTACTGTCTTTCATTCTGAAAAAAATGAAATACCAATTAATGGAAAATTTAATTAATATAATGCAGAGACAGTTTGAAACTTTCTATTTATAAATTTCTATCAAACATATAAAAATGTCTTAAACACGGATTAATTGCAAAATGTCAAATGAATTGAGATATGAAATATAAATGGGAAGAATGATTCATTCATAAATGTTGGATAAATGTTCGTGTTTTCAAGAATTATAAATAACGCGAGAGCTTTCGATCGTGATCGGATCAGATTAATCGTAACATGTGACACGATCACGATGCTTTGATTGTTAGTTAAGACGATTGGAGACGATATTTACGAGCGGAAGACATCACGAGTGGAAGACACCACAAGTCTATTAAACTTGGCCGTGAACCAAGTATTAATTGCAGTCAAGGCGTTATTGTCACGAGGATGTCTTTAACCCACCTTACAGAGTTCATTATAAGAATAATACATTACGAAAATACAGAGTGGAAAAGTAACGTAAGTAACGAAAAATAAGAATAATTTATCATAAATCATTCTAAACTAAGTAGTATTAACATAAAAATAGACTTTATGAATACCGTCCTTTGAAAATTTGTAAGTATAAAAATAGGATAGAAAAGAAATGTAAATATAATCATTGTATTTATGAATATAATGAAAATCAGAATCTCTTTATTTGCATTTGAAATATTTTAAAGTTTTCTTAAATTTTTTTATAGTCTTGTAAAATCAAGATAAAAAATTTTATTATTTTTATTGATAGTTTAACAAAAAATATTAGAATAATAATTTTTTATTTAATCTAATCTTGTTTTTTAGAATTAAAAGAGTGATGAAAAAAGTAACGAATTTTTTTTTTTAAATAGATAGAGTTTTTCAGAGTCAATTAATAATTACTTTTTTGACTTAATAATGAATAACGATAATAAATTACTTTTAAAAAGTAATTTTTTCATCTTTATAAAAGTATTATTATATCATATATAAGATGACACGTAATTCATTGACGTAATTCATTGCTTCGACATTTTTAAAACAAAATCTTTAATAGTTGTTTGCCGCAAATAAATAAAATCGATGGCTATTTCAAACAAAAAATATCGCATAAATATTTAACTGCACTTATAAATATTGATTCAATTCCATCTACAAAATTTATCAAATCGTGTTCACTGAATTAACTCGATGTATAACAAGAACTTTTATCTGAATAATCATCTTTTTTCTCATTGCGGGATTGCTGGTCTTTTTTTATGTCATTTAATGTCATTTAAGCGCATCGCGGATGCAACCCCTAAATACCGCATTACATGAACGCAATTATCGTAATGGCTAGTGCCTCTATATTATATAAGACGTCCGGTTTCATAACTTTTAAATCTTGCACCGCGCCCCGGACGCAAATCGATATTGCTTTGCGACCACAAGAAGTTTACGCGTGCGGCCCCGCGGGGATATCGCACGTGTTTCCCCGTTATTGAAAATTAAAGTGAATCTTTGCTTATTATTATTTTGTACCGTTAATATAATAATAATAATTACGATTCCATTCAAATACATTTAATTTCAAGAGAAACTCATCATGGACCGGAATGTTTGTTCTTTTCGAACTTCGAAGCGAACTTTACTTAAATTTTTATGGCTTTAATTACAATTTGAGTTAGAAAAGATTTTTTTCCCCCTAACAACTCGTGATAGCTTGAAAGATAATTCACGTGAGTCCTCACGAGATCTGCTTTGATATCAGAGCTGTCCGCATTACATAAGCATGCGACACGCAAGCACAATTTTGAATTAATCATAGCAATTAGACAAACAATTAAAATACAAATATAACTATGTAATTAATCTCGCTATCTGATTTTTCTACATGATTTGTTACATTTCGCAATTAATAATGTCAGACGAAGAAATTTTTATTCTCACAACTCATGTATGTTGAATTTTATCTAAGTTAATCATAGCCGGATAAAAAGTTAAATTGCAGTAAATTAAATTTCTGTTCGAATAATCATTTTTTTAATATACTCATTAAACTTAGTATATTATTGCCGTTAATATTAGAATATCAATTGATTATCTTTATATCTTTACCGTTTCTATCTCTTTAAATCAATGTTTCTTTCTAGTATCAAAGATAGAATTTTTCGACTACAATATTTCATTAAAATAGAGTAATTGATGAAAAGCTAGAAAATTCCAAAATCGTATAATTCAATACTCAGGAAAAGATATCAATAAAAAAAAATTAAAAATGATCAAAAGTACCAGAAATGATTCTAATGTTAAGTAGATGAACTCGAAACACTAAAAGGAGACGTATAATAATAATTTATTTAGAAAAGATATGACTTTTATAGAGACAAATTTTAACTTGATCAAAAGTTGATTAAACTTTATGCATATTTGGATTCCAAGTTTCATGCGAAATTAAGTTTAGCTTCAAGAGTCACGCTTATCTCTTTTATTTCTAGTTATATAATAACATTATGACAAAGATGATGAGAGGCTTCTTATAAACTTGCAAAGATAGAAGAAAGAATAAACTTTTTTATCATATCTTAAGATTGCTTCCGTTGAGTACTTCCTCTACGCTACGACGAGTTAAAACTTATCGTTTTG